AATTTAATTTAAATTTATTAAATTAATAATTTAATTATTATTAATAATTATAATATATTAAATAAATAATAAATAATATTTAATATATTAATTAATAAAATAATATTATATAATTAAAATAATAAAAGGCGGAATAATTTAATTAAAAATATTAATTTTTTAAATTATTATTATTTATTTATAATTATTAAATTAAATTAATTTTATTTTATTAAAACCGTTCGAAATTATAATTATTATATTTATAAAAATAATATTTATTATAAATCTAATTTCGTCGAAATTATAAATATTATTATTTATAATATTATATTTAATTTTAATATTCTATATAAACGTAAACTATTCGGTAATAATTTTTAGATTTTTATATTTAGCCCTTTAATAATTATATTTATATATAAAATATATATAAAATTATAATTAATATTTAACGAAATTATATATTTAACGTTAATTAATAGGAAGCGTATCGTATACGCGTAATAATTAATTAACTATATTTTCCACGCTACTTAATTTAGGTAGGAATGCGTATATAGATAGCTTAAGAACGTATTAAACTATTGTCTTTTCCTTTAAATCCGTTAAATTACGTAAGTTGGCTAGAATATCGCGTCGTGTAAGCTTACTAGTGCGCCGGTAATGGAGGGTAGTATAAGGTATAGAATAGAGCTTCGCTATAGCTTTAAGGCTTAGTTTAGGGTTATTTTTAAGGGCTTCGAGTGCAAGAATAACTTTTGCTTTAACTAGAATCGAAGATATCTTGGTATAGTGGAGGAAATCGATGTTGCAGGTAGAGAGCTATATCGCGTACGAAATCGATCCACTCGCTTGTCCGATCCGCTCGCTTATTAAATACGTTAGGTACGATTTGGGTAACTGTTCATTGCGCTGATCTTGAATAAAAGTTGAATATTGTTGGTCTCCTACCTAGCACACAAGCATGCTACATCAAATTTCCCCTGAATCCCAAACCACCACTCCTCCAACTACCGTCAACACACTTCTCAACTGTTTGATCCTTTCCTCCGGAATTGTGAAGTAGTCCTCACTAAGCACTGCTACATCACCCAGCCTTCCTGTCTCAAGAATACCCAAGCTATGCTCGTCAGGCCCGCCTAAGAACCAAGTGTTGTGTTTCGTGAAGAGCTCCAGTACTTCTTGTCTGCTGATTGACTGGCCGGGGTTGATGACCTCCCCTTTGGCATTTTTTCCAGTAATTGCATAATACGCATGAGGCCACGGGCTCAAGGGAGCAATGTTCGCCCCATCAGGACCGAACCCTCCACGGATTCCGCTGTCCAGGATTCTTCGAAAAGGAGGTCCGGCGGGGTTTGTTGTGTTACCTGTCCCTGAAAGGTAGAGCCAGCCAGAAACATTCACACCCGCCCCTAATGCCTTTAATCTTCTGAGAGAATCTGTCGAGATCCTTGGCACATGGGCGACAACCCAGCGTAGGTTTTTGATGGAGACTTCGGCGTCGACCTTTTCAAAGCCCTCTAGTTGTGTTTTGAGATCATTTTCTCCAAGAGCGTGTACCTCCAGCCGCCACCCTGCCTTGGCTATTTTAAGGGCGGCAGCTTCAAAGACGGGCCCGCCGGCGTAGTCTGCGATCCCGACGGCGAACTCGCCGATGGCACCGGTACGCATCATGTCATTGCCAAAAAAGGGGAACGTGTTGCGCAGGCGCTCTACAAGAGTAGGGTTTTCTGTCGTTGTGTCATCGTGAAGGAAGTTTATGCGAAGCCGGATGATGCCGTCGAGGTCATTGTACACCGAGAGCCAGGGAAGATGAAAGGTATACAGATCTTCTGAGGCAGCACCGTCCGAGGATATGTTGGTCGCACTGAAGGCCCCTTGATCCAGCTTTGGTGGCCTGGGTTAGTAAGAGCTCCAATAATGTTCACCAACATCTGTGGCAGGGTGTGCAGGCGGGGCATGAAGGTGAGGGGACATATATCGCAAGAAGAACCTACGTGTGTTGTCACTCCGACGCTGGCTGCATACTCCATTGCACTCCTCACGCTCCTCTTCCTCTCCTCAAACCCCAACAAGCTCTGCCTCAGCCACAACAGCGCTTTTCCATTTTCCAGTCCAGATGCAATACTTCCATTCGTCGCTATCACCACGCTAGCCTCTCTTTCCAAGATCTCTCTGCCTTTTGTATTTGTGGTAGCCGGACCAGAAAAGGATGTGGAGATGAAGATTGGGTTGTCGTTCACTGCGCTATCCAGCTCCTCCAACGTAGGGAGTCTCTGTTCCTTGAGCTGATTGGGAGAAAAGCCACCGATGGTTGTGATCCACCCATCCTTTGGCACCCCTTTTGCACGCTGCTGATATGTTGCTTTCACATCAGCAACCGACAAGGACAGCTCCAGAGGGGTATGGTAACCGGGTCTGTTTCCGAGGAGAACAATGTGATTATGGCAGTCTATTAACCCCGGTACCGCAACTCGACGTCGGAGGTTGATTTTCCTGAATGGAGAGGACGACTGTGACAAAGTGCGTTCGGCCTCGGGTAAATCGTCACCAGTATATGCAATGTATCCATCTCTGACGGCCAAAATGGAGACTACCCGGTTGCTGGGGCCGATTGTGTGAATTTTGCCGTTATAAAGAAGCACAGACCCGCGTAGAGAGCCCGAAGTATGGGACTGGGTGATGAAACGAGGGGGCAAAACTGGAGTGAAGGAAGATTCAATCGACAGCGTGGAATTAGTATTGCTGGACACTTGGACGTCGAGTGGGGAGGCAAATAGGACCCAGAATTGGAATACGAGTAAGAAGGGTAGGATGGTGATAATGGCGAACATGACTCTCAGGGTGTCCACGATTAATGGATTTATGTTTCAAGTAGAATGCGGAGCAGACAATTGTGCTGTCAATGCTTCGGAGTATGTCCCGTCATATACTACCTAGGGTAGTAAACCCTAGCCACATTATATACCTGAAAGGTAGGGAAGGTACCTTGCCCTCCTTCACTTGAGGGAGGGTACCGTCGCGATGATCACATACCCACGAAGGAGGGGGAGTGTGGACAGAGGTACCTTGGGTAACGAGCCAGTGACTAGGTATCTAGATATGCAATACAATGGAAATACCCGGCGGACAAAAATATCAGCCGAAGCATGCTCCTAGGCCGGTGGTTCACTAGTCTGAGATGCATACATATATTGGTAGTATTGCATGAGGGGTTGCTCTGGCAGCCTGAGCACACTGGTGATGGGTGGTTTTGTGTCATCGTTCGGAAGTTTGGAGAGCTTGGCTTGCCCTGCACCCTCTTTTGGAACTGAGACCAATTGAATAGCAATGCTGAAAAGACAGTCACAAGAAAAGGAAAAAGACGTCATTTCTGTCGCATGATATCAATTTTGAGTTTTGGTGGTAAAGCATCCAATCATAAAAGCCTGCTTGGCCAAGTGGTAAGGCGTCGCACTTGTAATGCGAAGAGCACAGGTTCGATTCCTGTAGTAGGCATTCATTTTACCACACCCAGTTACGTTGATCCTGATCACACAAATGGAACATTTTTGTAATTGCAAATTCTTCATGAAAACCTGGAACAGTAGACAGAAATGGCAAACAGACAACAACAAGCCAACACCCAGATCACACTACCCTGCGTCTTTTTGCACTTGACCGAAACCTTGGAGAACGCCGTCCTCGCTTCGACCCACGAGCCCCATCATCCCAAGCTCCATTTTGTAATTCCTCCTCCACCCGTATCGCGTGCTGTATGGCCTTTTCCATTCCATTCCTCACATACTCCTCTGGTGTGATGTCGCCCTCTAGCCTCAGATGCCATGTTCGTATATACCGCTTGGGATCAAAAGTTTGTACTGGCAATGAACCGAAAAGACGAGATTCCATTCCACTGCGCATAAAGTCATCCAGTGAAGTCCATGGTCTAGGACCTTGACGGAATTTCTCAGGAGCTGGGCCCAGTGCTGAATCAACGCTGTGGATGATGGTCCTGGTTTGAGACGTCTTTGGTCTTTGGCTCGGTACCGTGGTGCCCTGATACCTTCCAGGCAGAGTTTGTGCCATCAACCTCCCCTGACTTGTGGGAATATTCAGATTTCTAGACAGTGTATCGGTACCGCCATCTTCATCCTCGCTCAGGACCTGGAGAGTCATGACGCTCGACATCTTCGCCATCGTAGGAGCGTCATCGCCATCGCCAGCGTCTTCCTCTCCAGCCCAAGGGTTTTCACCGGCATAGAGCTTGCAGTAGTACTCGGCCAGCGGAATTCCCTTCGCTGTGGAAGTGGAGCGCCTCACACTGGAATCAATGTATGACGAGTTCCCCTCAGCAGCATCTATATTGTCTTGAATAGTCTGGTCCATTCTCCCGTCGTTCAGGTCGCCCGGCGCATTAAACAAGTTTCTAAGAGTTGTGACAAATTCCTCGTCAGCCGGCATCGATAACCCATCAACAAAGGAGTTTTCTGCAGCTTGTTCTGCCTCGAGTAGTATCGTATCATCAGCTGCCCAAAATGCCGGCAGGTTTGTGACATCTTTGAGGGTCATGTCTGGGTTTTCGAAGAACCCTGTTCTCAAAACATATTCGCAGTATTTTTCCAGGCGGTCAAGTGCCCTATTTTTGTATGAGGGGTCATTCGGGTCTGGCAGGATCGTGGATTTCCCATCAGGATCGGCAGAGCTTGACTGCTCGTGCTCGGCCTCTAACATCCACTCATCGTAAAGATCGGGCTTGCTCTTGGAATCACGGTGCACAGGCACAGTGCCACCCTCTGTGAATTGTTGATTGTTGATGAACGATATCTGGTCCTTCCACCATTCCATGAGGCTTTCCAAGAATCGAACTTCGTTGTCAATCCTACGGATGGTGTCGTTATGCTTGCGGTCGAACTCGTGATGCATGCTGATTTGGGTGTTTATGTTTCTCTCCTTGTAAACATGAGCCAAGCTATAATCAGCCTTCCTGCCCTCAAAAGTGGAATTTTCATGATGCTTTTCCTCCTGTAGGTGCTTGACCTTTCTGCGCTCCACCTCGGCCCAAAAAGAGCTTCTCGCCGCCAAAATATCCTTCACCTGTTTGTCCACAATGGCAAGTGTCCTCTTATCAATGTCGGAAAGATTCCCACGTGTGGCAATGTCGATCTGGCGGGATCTCCGGATGTCGAGAGTACTAAGCTCCCTGGCCATCAAGGGATATAGTTCCCAGACTGGCTTGTTCACTCGGTCCACGATGGCAGCATCTTCAAGCGGGGAGTTGGTGCACACAGTTGGGATTGACGACTGGTGCGAGCTCGAGGACTGCTGTGACCTTCCAGACTGCTGTGGGCTTGAAGACTGATGTGCATGCGAAGGGGTGGACGTCCCGGCCTGGGGGGCGGTGATCAGCGGCTTCACATAAAAGTTGTTTATGAACGGATACATGTAATTCTTCTCGGCTATTTTGAGCAGTTTTCGTCGGTCATTCAATATTTTGTTGTGCCGGTGAATTGTTCGGACGAGGTCTTTGTGCTTCCCACCGCGGGCTTCCATAACCATGATGACAGCCGACCGGGAAGGCCAAAAAGGAAATGTGTGTACCCTAATCGCGGCGAGAGCCATGTGAGCTTGCTGAAAGTCCTGGGTAGCAGTGAAAGGCCATCGCTGCGGGTCATAAGCCCGATAAGGCATCCCGCCCCTGATGCCCATGGTCCACATGACCGGGCGATCCCTTTTGTCCTTCGCCCTTCTATGCTGATCCAGTTTATAGTCGGCCAACGCAATGACATGTCCGTAAAGCCAGTCGTTGCTGGGCCATTCCTCCCAGCGTCTTTCCCTTTGTACCTTCTTGGTTTGAGTAAATTCGGTCCACCATGCACATGTTGCTTCCTTCATGTCCGCCGTGTTGTCGTATTCTTCGGCTGCGAAATCAAACATATCCTCAAACTTCCCCACGAGATCAAGCAGTTCTCCGCTGTATTTTGCTCGCAACTTCTTGGAGGTTGCGAGTTTGGTAAAGGGAAATTTGATCTCATCGCCGGCTTGTTCCCGTTCGGCAACGTGAAAGGCTAGCTCTCTGCCCAGACCCCACGCTTTGATGCGTTTTTCAGAGATAGTCAACAGTGTCTTCAGCATCACACAGAAATACATCTTGTCAAACCACGTCCCCGGCTCTGGAAGCTTTTTCAACCTTGCCTTGTATTCACCGTGAACGTCATGTTTCACGTCGCACGCCAGGCCAAAGTCTGCAAGGTGAATCTGTGGGAAACAGGCGTTAAAGTTCTCAAGTCGTGGGTCTTTTTGTTTTTCTTCAGCAGAAGGGTAGTGCAGCCAAATATTGTGTAAGTGGCCGTCATTGTGGCCAATCGAGACCCAATCTTTCAACGTTGGATGCTTCAAGTCGGGCTTCAAGTGGTTGTTATTCCGGAGGTTCTCCTCTGGAGATTTCACATGGCCTGTGTGCAAGTAGGCATAAGCCCGCCCGACTTGGGCGATGAAATGCCAGATGAATTCCTCGGGGACATCCTCAGCTCCTGTACGCTCCGAATTTTTAGACAAGCGCCCTTTCTTGTAATTCTCCAAGAGTTCCCAGAGCGAGCCGCCATTGTAGTATTTCATGAACATGGTTGACTGTGAGTCTCCGTGCCAGTTCTTTATGTCGTTGTCGGGTCTGGTTCCGTAATCATGTATCTGAACTGCATACATCTGCGAGATTGGATACAGAATAGCTACGTAGTACACATTTTATTAGCAGCTGCGTCTGGACGATGATGGACAACACATACGGTCATATTCTAGCGATCTGTACGCTGCAGGGTCGTCCAAAGTCATGTACTCAATCTCTGGTATGATTCCGTTGACATTGCTCGACAATCGCCACGAGATATTGCCCAGCACCTGTTTGATGACCACCTGCTCCTCCGGTTTGTCCATAGAGTGGAACAGCCCTACCATCACACCATTTTTGGTCACGTACTTCGGGAGAGTAAACCAACGGATCAAAACAAAGCCTTTGGGACGAGCCTGTAGCCAGATGAGGGATTTGTTGGTAACAGGCGATTCGTTTTTGTAAGCTTCTCTTTCGGCCACCTCGGGCCGCTTGAGTGGAAAGGCTACCAGTGTCATGTTTTTCCACCCTCGCTCTTCGATCTTCTCACCAAAAGGTGTATCTGTAGAGCGTTGGACGCCCACAAAGTCGGAATCATCGCGAATTGTGCTGTCGTTCGGAGATGCCATTATGGTGGTTTAGAGAAAACCTCGGTACTCCGGTTTGAGGGGCAGTTTTGACCAATGTCTGGATTATTATGAGCTCGTGTAGGCAAGTTAAGTAGGTAAGGTAGCTACCCGACTGATGATGAGGTGCATATTTTAGGTCTTGGACAACAAAGCCCTATCATCTCCAGATCCATCATGCCCTTCTTTGTCCGGGTAACTAGGATCAGTTCAAGTAGCTGTTTCACAGGGCAGCCTTCACTCAGAGACAAAGGATAGGTATCTCATCGAACCACTATCCAGCTAACCACTTTTTCCGGATCGGGCTAGGAACTGCCAGTCATCAAACATAGAGACTTTGAAAGTGGCACTTGACTATGCCCTTGGTACCCACACCTACCTCCCTCTGTGCAACTGGTTTCATACACACCATCCCATTATCTGGGCGGCATCATCAATTCGCCTTGTCTACCACACACACTCAGTCTCTCCCAGCATTGTACCTGCACCTACACTCCACACAAATTATCGAGATGGAGTTGGATTCTGCGTTGCTGCTTCGACGTCTTGTTAGTGATGATGTTTCCCATCAGTCTTTTTCAAGCCACGCTGGATCGAATCGCATCCTAATTGGACACTTGGTGAAAAATAGCCAGAGGCAATTTCTGACAGTTACGTGCAGTGCTAGAGCGTTGCGTGTGCACTATGCCTGCCCAAGAAAGCGGGATTAGGACTCCGTTCACACATGGTTGAGGTGGGACTACAAGATTTAGGCTGTTAATTCTGAGCTGCAGGTAGCCGTAGGAATGCAACTCTGTGACCCCAGATTAACAAACAGCCTAAAGGTGGAGTACACTAGAGAAGTCTCTAGACAGGTTCAAGTGCATTGTTTGTCAGTCAGCTAGGTAGAGATGTCCTATCTGGTTTGAATCATTGTTTTAGCGGATAGACTGTGGTAAAATACCTACCTACCATATCAAATCCTTGGGAGCCGTAGCAAGACTTGACGTTGATGCATAAGGTCTGGAACAAACATACTACCTGCCAGTCCTGCCTACTTACACAAGCTTCCCGACCTACTTCGCACTCTGGCAGGCTGCATCACCTACATTCTTGACTCGCGGCTTGATCAAGGGAGATGTTCTTTCAGGTTCGCAGAAATCCTTTCGGCCGCCACTGCCCATGTTGAGCCTTCAGCTTGGCAGTACCAGTTCTCGGCCTCCATATCCCGTGGTTGCCCATTGAAGCAATTGAAGCAGGCCCCATGTCATGAGGCTCTTTGGACGCCATCCGTTGACATACAACTGCACATGTTTAGCTTAAGGTCTTGGGTCGTAGTCTCATTGATTTACCCGTCGGTTAAATCGGTAGTTCGCTCCCTGAAGGCCCCGCTCCCTTTTTTGCCGAACTGGGTTGCATCTTTCGGCAAGGCTGTCTACGTACCAACCCATATTACTCGATGCAGACAGGCCGGTGGCTGAGAACCAGAAACCCGGTTTGAGAGTCGAACTGACTGGGAGACTAGCACAGGGAAACACCATGTCATGAGGTCCTCAGTATATTGAATTTTGACCTCCTATACGCGCGGCTAACCTTGGTGTACAGTCCTGTCACGCTTCTGGTTGCATTGCACAGATCGGTTGCGTGTGAATTCCAAGTTGTTCAACTTGGCACTCTGGAATTGCAAGGGCTTTTGATCCCATGCCTTTCTCCTTGACATTTGCGGTGTTATGGCGGTCTAGAATCCGTTCTCGTCTCTTGTTTCACCACCTGTGCTGTTTTGCATGAACTACGCTTGGACGAATTCGGCATTGATCAAGATGTTAGTGCCAATTTCGACAGATCACCCACATGTAGGTACCTTAGGTACCTTGTGTCAAGAGCACAGCTACCTGCTGGTAATAAAGAAGTCGGTTGTTCAGTCTTCGACGAGTTTCTTGTTGGTTATGTCCACTGCACTGGGCCGTTGTGCCAATTTGTGGGGAAGTGCTTCAAGGAGTGGGTAGAATCGACGTTAGATGACAGGTGCTAGAATCCGGGGCATGACCAGCAAACAGAACAGAATCCACCCAGAAAGGAATCCACAACCAAGGGGTTGCATTACAACCAGGTCCTCATGTAACGCAGGGACCTCCATTGTCTCGCAAAGGACTGGAGTTGAATGCCTGGGCCAAGGATAAGGGGCAAATTCCGCTCCCTCCGAAGACCCAATACCACCTAGCTGGCAATGAACGGATTGGCATGTGGAAATCTATATAAGCACCTTTGTCGCCCAACGGAGGAAATTGATCCCAACCCTCTTGTTTGACCAGGCCTGTAACTTTCCAGTTGTCTCTCCAGAAACATCAAGATGGTCACCCTTTCTTCCCTTCTCGTTGCCGCCGCGACAGTGGCCACTGGTGTCTTCGCTGCCCCCGGTGAGCTTCCTGGGCTGGCCAAGCGTCAAACCTACACAACCAGCGCCACCGGTACACACAATGGGTACTACTTCTCCTTCTGGACCGACGGCGGCCCGAACGTGAGGTATACCAACGAGGCTGGCGGCCAGTACTCGGTGTCGTGGTCCGGCAACGGCAACTGGGTTGGTGGTAAGGGATGGAACCCCGGTACTGCTCGGTGAGTGTTGCAACATGTCGTCGTGTGCTGGTGTCAGCAGCTGACAAGGGTCGTATGCAACAGCACCATCAACTACACGGGCACCTATCAGCCCAACGGCAACTCGTACCTGGCCATCTATGGATGGACCAGAAACCCTCTTGTCGAGTACTACGTGATTGAGAACTTTGGCACTTACAACCCATCCTCGGGAGCCACCCGCATGGGAAGCGTTGTCGATGGCGGTGCCACCTACGACATCTACAGGTCCACCCGCGTTCAGCAGCCCTCTATCGAGGGTACTCGTACCTTTGACCAGTACTGGTCCGTCCGCCAGCAGAAGCGCACCGGCGGCTCTGTCAACATGGCTACCCACTTTGCTGCCTGGGAACGTGCGGGACTCAGATTGGGAACCCATGATTACCAGGTTGTCGCCACTGAGGGCTACTTCTCGTCCGGCTCCGCTACTATCAACGTTGGCGGCTCCTCGGGTGGTGCTCAGCCCCAGCCCCAGCCCGAGCCTTCTCCCAACCCCAACCCCGGCAACGGCGGCGGCGGCGGTGGTTCCAATGTGAGTCCTCCTTTGCTCTCTAGGCCATGTGCTTGATCAGAATAGAACAATTAATAAACATTCACGAAAATAGTGCGCTGCCAGATGGGGCCAATGCGGTGGTCAGGGCTGGAATGGTCCTACTTGCTGCGAGTCAGGCACTACCTGCCGTTCCAGCAATCAGTGGTATTCCCAGTGCCTTTAAGTTGTTGGATTTGACCTTGGACGTTCTGGGGTGGGTTCTCACCATGCGGTCTCAAACTTCGATGGACAGTAAGGGAAAGTCTGTAAGGTAGATAGGATAAGGGGACGCCTCATGCTTCATGTACATAATTGCACCCTGGCATGCCATCACGGTATGTGGTACAAATACTCGTTTTCATCATCAAAAGCTTCGATCGATGTGTGTGTCTGTGTGTGTGCAGAATCCTGATGTTTTGGACGGGATGCCCTGGTGGGCTGAGATGTCGAGAGATTGAAAAGGCTGTCTGTGGTGTGTGTAGCTGGGGTGTCTGCGGTGTCAACGAATAGGATGAGTGGTAAGAACCTTGCATCTTTGCCCTACAGTCACACCACCGTCGCCTGCTTTCTCCTCAGGTCCAACCAAAATGCCGACACGGTGAGACAGGAGACAGGGCTGTGTCTCTGATGCCCTGGTAATATAAACACAGCTGGTAGGTAGCTAGATTCACAACATCGTCGAAATGGATGGCCGGCCGAGTGTGATCAGGTAAGCTCGCATCAAGCCAAAGAGGGAAAAGGCATCGAGGCGGTACATCAGGAACCTCGCCGCTATTTTCCCCGCACAAAGCGACCCTAAAAGCCCACACCGCTTGCCTCGTTGAGATAAGGCCCTGTTGCCCTGAAGAGTGAGAACCAAGGATTGACCAATGGCGGTCTTGGCCCGTTCGCCATCGTTTTCTTGGCCTCCCCCTGCAAGAATTCCACCGGTCTCTTGCCCTCGATCGAGGACCAAACCAAGTTCGGACCATGACAGCAGAAGCGGGGTCGGCAGTTCAGCCTATGGGTTGCCATTGGTGATGATGGGTGATCTGGTTCCTGCGGTCTGCCAACGGCCAGCTTTGAGAAGCGTCACGTTGGCGCCCACGGTACCGGAGCTGAAGGGGGTGCTCGGAGAGTAAAAGAAGGACCGGGCTCCATATTTTGATCCTGTCCTTTTCCCTCGCTCTCAACCGTTGCTGACAGCCAACCTTTTCTGCCCGTCCACGACAGGGTCAACCCACCATCTGTGTCCTTTCACCGATTCACTAGATGCCAGCACCCTGCGGCTCATCAACGTGGTCGACAGCAACGTACAATGGCGAATAATTCCCCCCGTCGACCCCCATCGGGGATCAAGGTCATCGTGGTCGGAGCTGGCTTCGCGGGTCTTGCTGCGGCCATTGAATGCGATCGGAAGGGCCACTCCGTCACACTGTTTGACAAGGTCGATAACATTGAAGAGATCACCAGGATCGGCGATATCATCTCTTTCGACCCGAATGGCTCCGTTGCCTTCGAGCGCTGGCCAGGTGTTGTGGATCAAATGGAAGCCATTGCCCGCCAGACTAAGCACATTGACCTATATCACCACCAAGGCAAGTTTGTCACGCGGCAGGACTTCTCCCACGAGAAGGCATGGGGAAGAAGGATCAATGGCCACCGAGGGCAATTGCACAACATCATATACCGACATGCTGTGGATCGTGGTATCGACATCCGCCTCGGGAAGCGGGTCGAGGACTACTTTGAGCAAGACTCGCCCCCTCAGGCCGGTGTGGTGGTGAACGGAGAGCGCATCGCGGCGGACGTGGTGATCGCGGCCGAGGGAGTGAGATCGCGAGGGAGGAAGATTGTGCTCGGTTTTGACGAAAACCCAAAGTCGTCCGGGTACGCCGTGTACAGAGCCTGGTTTCCGGCCGACCGGGTGCGCAATAATCCTGTCATCAAGCATCTGGTTGAGAATGGCGACACGCACCAGGGCTTCATCGGGCCGGACATCCACTTTCTGGCCTCCACCATCAAGAACGGGACCGAGGTCAACTGGGTCTTCACCCACATTGACGATGGGAATATCGAGGAGTCATGGCAGTTTCCGGGAAAGCCCGAGGAGGCGCTCAAGTATCTTGAGGGGTGGTGCGATGTCGTGCATGAACTGGTCAAGGCGACGCCTGATGGAAGACTGATAGACCATAAGCTGGTGTACCGGGACCCCCTGCCGACGTTCATCTCACCCAAGCGGCGGATTGCCTTGATTGGCGACTCTGCGCATCCGTTCCTGCCCACGTCGATTCAAGGAGCGAGCCAGAGTATCGAGGATGGCGTTGTATTGGCGACCTGTCTAGAGCTCAGCGGTAGACAGAACATCCCGCGAGCTCTAAAGGCGTACGAGAAACTTCGATACGCACGAGTACATCGGGCACAGGCCAATGGCCCAAAGATGAGAGAGAGGTGGCACAAGGCAGACTGGAATGAGGTGTGGAAAAAGCCAGAGATGATCCACCTCATTCGGGAAACGTGGCTGCTGAATTTTGATGCCGAGAAGGATGCATATGACAGGTTCTCCAGTGTCCTCGAGGAGTTGGAGAGAGATGAACAGCAAATCAAACCAAGGCTGTAAATATGCTTTCCTTGCTTGTTTGTATCCCGGTGTCGATGAAACGACGGTCGAGAGATTTTCTTATTAAATGAACATCTAGGTAGCGAACTGTCTCGCGGTAGAAGTAAAGCCTGGGGTGATGGTCCTATGCCAAGATTGTAGCCCCTGAACCCCTGATTTAACCCTGAACCCCTGAGAAATGGTGGAGAATGATGTAAACCCCACTCTAATTTGTAGAACAATGTAGGTGAATACTACTACTATCTCTTCTGATAAATAAGGTGCGTTAGCGAACTCCTCCCAGGGCCCCCATTGTCATGCCTGCCAAAACCGGCATCGCCATCGTCCATGACCTTGCCAACCCTCTTCCCTCATATTCTTGCTCAGGCTTAGACCATCTGCCACCCGCAAACTTCCCACAGCCGTAGCCCCCATAACCAAATCCATACATCTTGGACCCTGGTCTGAGATATCTGCCCTTCGGCTTGCTATAACCATATTCCGACTCGTCGTAGATAATCTCGTCGAGGTAAGGACTGATCGGCTTGGCGTCGGCCACACCTGGGAATGTGTGACCAGGTGCCTCGAGATACATGTGCGTCCTGTTCTCGTCCTTGCCCAAGAACGCTGGGCGGGAGGTGTGCATGGCGGTGGCCATCCCCCTGCGGAGGATGCGATGTTGACGGTACATTTCTTTCTCCTTGAGAGCCCTCTCGGCCCGTGCTGAGACACGCTCGTCATGTGTCGTACCAGTAAGTGTATCCTTCAGCTTTCTCGCTAACGAGCGCTTTCCTGAGGTGTCACTGCTCTTGGAGTCAGAGCCAGAGTCGTCCGTTGGTTCGTCAGACAAGTCATCGGCGCTGTCCAGAACCGTCTCGGAAATTTGAAGACGGACCTTGTCCTTCTCTGCCTCGTTGAGTGACGAAAGAAATTCGTAGTCGTCATGTGGATGGTGCCAGATGGATCTGGGGTTGGGGTTGTAGTTGGTGTCAACGAAGAACTGGTGATGCGTGTCTGGATCAAATTCCCTAACCCATCCAGAGGGAACGGGGCGAAGTTCGTCTTCCATGCTGCGGCGGGCTTGCATTGGAATGGCGTCTTTGTGTTGGAGTGCTGTGGTTGTTGAGATGGTCCCGGAGCTGGTTGAATTGGTTTCGTTGTTGCCAGAGAGCGACGACTGTAATGCTCCAGAGTGGATTGCGGGTGGTGAGCCTCTTTCTACCTTGGTGCTGCTCGAACGTGATGGCGATACAGACATTGTGGCACTTTTTGGCAAAGGCGGGAGGGGATATAAGTAGAGATTTACCCGAAACACACAGGCTGGAATGCAGTTGGCAAGCAGCTGTAGTAGCATGTGAAGAGAATAATCTGAAAAAAACTCGGGCGGTTGAAGTGAGTAAGATTCAAAGCTTGAATGCGGAAGAAGGGACACACCTGCTTGTTAGTGTGCTCTGGAAGCCAATCTGACATGATAGCAGTCAGACGTCATGTAGCTGTCAAATCACTATTGCATCGAAAGTGGGTTTGGACACAGAACTACTGCAAAGCCAGTGCTGGCTCATGTGAGCGACGAGCCAGCTGCGCATATAGTCTGGGACTCGTCTACATTAATTCGCGATTGGAAGTCAAAATGGTCGTGTTTGCAGAAAAACTTTTACATAAATATGTGTATCAAGAAAGAGATCGAGGCCCTTCAAGGCATGCATCCTCCGGTTCGAAAGTCCCTTCCCATAGCACGTGAACATTGCGCAAGTCCGTTCACTATGCTAGCATACAGAATAATTAGTACTCCATTGAAGTCAAATACAACGTACAATAACTATCACCTCACACCTTCTTTTGTCCACGAGGTGACCAGGTACCCTACCTAATTATATTGCCTGCCTTCCCCTTACGTTGAAGAGCTCATACTCGTCACTGGTATTGTCGGTTTCCGCCATCATCAAATCGGGATGCCTTCTCTCCTGCTGCCGACCTGCCTTCAGCATCCCAGGGCTTGCCATTCTATGATCTCTATCCACCCTGATTTCACCAAGTTCGGAAGGCGTTACATATCTCGGTCTGATTCCCGGAGCAGCTTCTTCCACTCTGCGATGCGGCAGGGGAGCTGTGTGTAGGACGTATACACACTGAGGACAGTATCCATCGGTATTGATATTTCTGTGACGATGGTGACACCCTCTACACCAACGCGCGTGAGGATGGGCATGAGAATGTAGAAGCCTGTCTCGCAGTGTGGTGCCAAGGGCCACTCGGGGTTGGGGTGGACCCTCGCCAAAGACCCGGTTGTACGAGATAGGCCGGAGGCTATGCCGGACACCGTGAGGTTGCCTCGATGGTGATGGCGGTGGAGAGTGCCGCGTCCGGACGTAGCGGCATCCTGGGCTTGGGGCAACCGGTGCACCAGGCGAGATGCTACGAAAATAAGGTCGGTCGTGATCCTCTCCTTCGACACCCCCAATGATAGCCCGAACAGGAGAGGGATTGCGGAAGGGAGGAGAGTGGCGTGTGGGCGCAAGCGGATGTGGTGGATATGTTTTCAGCTGGTAGCCTGCCTCACGAATGATCATGCTGGCGCCTGGGGCATTGTATATGATGGTGTTAGAGGATTCGTAAGCGGCTTCCGGGGGTTGCTCCATGTGACCCAAGTTGACAATTACCTTCACCGGGCGATCGGAGTCCCTACGAATCGCAGGAATAAGGCGGTGAGAAAGAAAAGCATCGATGGCATCCAATTCGGAGACTTCACGTGTCACAGCGTTCCCGATGTAGGGCGCCGTCTTGCGATAGGGATAATGCCTTGCCCCATATGGTTCAGGTCGGTGATGTGCCATGGCTTAGGCTCAAGTGGGTGGGTGAAAAAGGACAGAGAGCGAATTCGGGCAAAAGAAAGAGCTGTTCAAAGGGGCCAGGAGGGGCAAATGTAGGGGTACTACGCAGTCGAGCGTGTCAAGGGTAGCTACCTATATTCTGTCTCACAACCTAGAGTAGTACAGCGAAACCGGACAGCATCTTCCGTGAACCAAAGTCTTGCGTGATGAAGTGTGTATTTCTTGTCAGGGCCTTTCAGTTGATTTGAGCTGTATCTAAGAGAACATGAGCAAGGTTACCATATCCTCTTTCTACCATCTAACCTTGAATTTCAATCTTGCGAGCCCCCGTCTTTTCAGCCTTGGGCACGAGGATATCCAGAATGCCTTGGTTGAATTTGGCCTTCACCTTGTCTTGGTCGATGTTGTTGGGAAAGTTGAAGACGCGGGAGAACTCTCCAAATGAACGCTCGCTCAGCCAGTACTTGGGTCCCGAGGATCTATCCTTGGAATCTTTGGTGTCCTTGGAATCCTTCATCTTCACTTCACTGTCTTTACCTTTGGCGCCTTCTATCTTCTTGGATGAGTCGGAGCTGCCCAGGCGAAGCGATGGGTCACCTTCCTCGTGCTTGCGTTCGGTGTGGCCACTGACAACCATGGTCTGCGGGCTGGGAGATACAAAGTTAGGGATGGGTTGGGAAGAAGGGGAAAATGGGGGAGGGGTACTCGGTAAATCGAATTTCGACATTTTCAGGCGAGACACCTGGGAGCTCCCCTTGCAGGGTATAATCTTTGTCGTGCTCGGTGACGTCGAACTTTGGCGAGAAGTTCTGGAGGCTGGTGCTGCTGTCGGCATGGTGACCTCCGAGCTCACGGGCGTACTTGTCGAAGTCATCCAACATGCGAAAGAGTGACGAGAAGCCAGGCGTTGGAGAATTGGCGTGGGAGATGCGGGGGTACCAGAGAGACATCTTGGGCGGAGTTCTGTTTGAGATCCTGGGACCGGTGATGCTATGTGCGAGCCGGCGGGTAGTGGCTGACTTGGGAGCTCTTGAGCGGAGAAGAGTGGGAATCTTGCCGGTAAAAGTGCGCGATGACTGCATGAAACCTTGGCTGAAGGGCAGGTTGAAGACAGCCTATCTTCTTACATTTGGCAAGCAAGCAGACAGCTATATACCAGCTCTCGTCTCTCCTCGTCTGCTTTGACATTCCTCTCGGTTGATGGTCTCCGTCATGTTGGCTGTCCCCTGGCCTTGTTCTCGAAGCGTTTGATGCGTAATGTGGTCGTCGTGACGATAAAATGAACTGACCTGGACGCGCTGTGGTTGCTCCATCTGAAATCCCAACGCTGCACAGACGGGACCCACCAAGAACTGAATCCGACCGTCGCCGCCCGGAGGACGGGAGTGGAGACGGGAGGCTCCGGGTGTAGAGGCCGGATGCATATCTGGCCAGTTCCGGGAAAGAATACTCTACTGGACCGATTAAAGACCCATCCCCTCAGCAGTCAAAGACAAGCGGAGAAAGTCCGAAAGAAGTGTGATGTGATTGGATCTGTGGAATGACAGGGCCAGGTACCTTCTTCAGCCGACAAGCCCTGGTTTTGGTTACGGTGCTAGCTCGAAATAAGCAGCAGCTAATCTGTAAAGGGTAACGTGGACTTGTAACAGTGATGTCATAGGCAACAATCCTTGGATGCTGCCCGTGGGATGCCACCCCGCAGTTTGACCACCGGGGAAAGGGCGGGAACCTCTTGGTCCTTGTACCAGCTTTTCATTTTCTGCTTGCTGCCTCGAGTGCCTCTTGATCCGTAGGTGGTACGCACTGATCAGGGAAGGGCTTGTTCCCCGCCGAGCTGCACATCCACCGATCACCCAGCCAGTTTGATGACTGAACCTCCCCACACTCCCATTATTCATCATTGTGCAGGATTACCACCAAACATCGTACGATTCTTGCATCCCCCAGCTTCTCGACTGCCCGCTTGAGCCCTCTCCCTCCAGCGCGACGGGCGCACCAGCCCACACCGCACCTCACCACCCCTCCCCGACCGACAAGTAGAGCAGTTTCCAGACTGCCGCAGCGGCCCGCTAGGTAGCCCACTTGCTCCGGCCCGGGCTCAACCAGTCAGGTCCGTTTTTCGGCTTCAAGATGGCCGACTTTGCTGGTGGAGGGACTGCCCCCGCCCATCCAGACCTAGGTCTTCTTTTTGATCTCTCGCCTCTGCCTTCGCTCCTCCTTTCGCCCTCGTGGCGCATCACCAGAGCCTCTGCGCGCTTCCTCGAAGAATGGAACCCCTCCCCCGAGGCCTGCGTTGGCCAAGAACTGCTGGCCTTTGTGCAGAACCAACTCTCTCCATCCCCCGTCCACCTCAAGTTTCTCACCACGGCCATCGACGATGCGATTGCCTTGCGCACAGAGCGAACCTCGATGCTGATCAACACGAGGCGCTCCGTTTCCTGGAGGGCACGTGTGATACCGTATTTCAAGGGCGATGAGCTTTTGGCCATTGTCACGGAGTGGCAGAAGAACTTGTTCACAGACGACGAGGTCCAACCCGGCCTCTCCACCGATGAGGCTTTCCGCATCCTTGTTCAGGCAGTCAAGGATTATGCGATATTTCTACTCGATACCACAGGCAACATCGCGACGTGGAACACGGGCGCTGAACTCCTGAAGGGCTACCGACGGGATGAGATCGTCGGCAAGCACTTTTCTGTTTTTTACGGCAAGGAGGATCTGGACAGCAAGAAGCCAGAGATGGAGTTGGAGATCTGCATGCGCGATGGCAGAGTGGAAGACGAGGGGTGGCGCTACAGAAAAGACGGCAGTCGGTTCTGGGCCAACGTCGTTATCACGGCCGTGTACAAAAACGGCGTTCATGTGGGCTTTGGAAAAGTGACACGAGACTTGACGGAGCGCAAGTCAGCCGAGTCTCGACTAATTGCTGCCTACGAGGAGAGTGAGAAGCTCAAATCCGACTTTTTGGCCAACATGAGCCACGAGATTCGCACCCCCATGCACGGCATGCTCTCGGCATGCGCCTTGCTTCTGGACACAAGCCTCTCGTCGCGGCAGCGCGACATTGTCGGCATCATGGACGAGTCAGGACAGGTGCTGCTGCAGGTTATCAATGACATCCTCGACTATTCCAAACTGGCGTCTGGGAGCTTTTCCATTCACTCGGACATTGTCGGCATCACGAGCATTGTCACCTCGGTAGTACGAAGCGTGCAGGCGACATTGCCCCCATCTGTGCATTTCGAAATGTTTCTGGCGCCAGACCTCCCCAGGTCGGTGCAAGGCGACCCTCTGAGATACCGACAGATACTGCACAACATTGTTGGAAATGCCGCCAAGTTTACAGAAAAGGGCAGCATTCGGGTCAGGGCCGGCGTGCAGCGAGAGGACCACGACAGCTATATGGTCATGACCGAGGTGACAGACACCGGCATTGGTATCCCCGAGGCTGCCGCTGCAAGCCTTTTCACGCCTTTCACCCAGTTCGATGCAACCACAACAAAACAGTACAAGGGCACTGGACTCGGTCTGTCCATCGCCAAGTCATTGGCCGAGTTGATGGGGGGGAGCATCGGGTATCGCCCCAACCCCGAACGGCACGGCAGTATATTTTGGTTTACGGCGCGGTTCAAAAAGATCAAGAGCCTTGAGCAAATTCAAGACTGGAAGAGCAGGTTGGTCCGGAAGGGCGGTGCAATTCTGGCCATGCCCGAGGCAGACGTGGTTAGCTTGCGACAAAAGCTGGCAGAGGTGGCTTCCATCAAGAGTCTACTGCTGGTGGAAGACAATGTGATCAACCAGAAGGTTATGCTCGGTCTCCTGAGGTCTCTCGGCTTCAAGATCACTGCGCTTGCCTCCAATGGGTCCGAGGCGGTGAATATGGTGCGGAGCAAGCCCGCGGCCTACGACATCATCCTCATGGACATCAACATGCCCATTATGGATGGCCATCAAGCTTCCAAGGCGATACGGGACGCAGGCATCCTGGTGCCCATCGTCGCCATGACAGCATACGCACTCAAGGGCGATAGGGAACGCTGCCTTGAGCACGGCATGAACGACTATATCCCCAAGCCGGTCGACAAGAAGTATCTCATCAAGGTTCTAGCAAAGTGGCTCCTACAAATGAAGGACTACAGGAAGATCTTTGACGAACAAATGAACAAGCTACGAAGCTACGAATCTTTGACTCCGAGTGCGAGGGGCCATGTTGCCGATCGTCTCCAGCAACTTTCATTAACTGTCCAGGGCGAAGAAGGCGAAGGAGGCGGAGCCGCCACACCATCTGATCGGTCGGTGGAACACAAAGACCAATCTGATTCCCATGGAGCACAGTCGTCAGACGACACCATCAATGTGGTCAAGCCTACCTCACAAGAGGAGCACCAGCACACCAGCAGTATGGTATCTTCACCGCGTTTCGAGCCACTTTTGCCGCCAGTTCAGCTCGAAATGCTGGACTCCACCCAGGACATTGGCCTTATGGTGACTGGAGACATCGCGCCAAACGCTCGAGGGTCACAAATCTCCGCGGAAGCTGTCGATAGTGGAGGAGACACAGAGAATAGCACCAGCGGGACAACTGCCACCACACCTTTAGATCCACCACTGGACTCGGACAAGAGCACTGCCGATACCACACATAGGGGGGCAGCCACCCTGCTACCATGATACGAGGTTCAATACCTCTTTCCCTTCTTCCTTGCGTTCTCTTTACTTGTTGTTTCTTCCTTTTTCCCTCTATGTTTCTTTTTGGCGCGATCAGGAGTTGACTATATGGTGCTTAGTGTACTTTGGCAAGCAGGCAATAACTTTTACTGCATTGATACCTATTTCATTTCTATTTTTGTGGGAGCAAGGGGGTCGAATTATTGAGTGCACTCGGTGATCGCAACAATGTCTGTATGGATATGAAGTAGCACGCGGTGGTGATTCGGGACAGGAGTGGTGATTTGGCTTGCCTGAAAATGGCGAGACGTGGGTTTATGCAGCGAGTCTGGAGTTGTGGGCATCTAGATAAACAATACGAAATAGGATGTAGGGTGAAATAGTAACGATAAGGTATATTATCTCTACGGCAACATACTCCATGTACAGTATAACAATTTTTTTTTTAAAAAAAAATAAAAAACTTAAAAAAAACTTGCCGAATGGACTTTCAGCGAAGGATACCTATCAAGCTTCTGATTGAGTTGGCTGCATGTTGCTGGACTACTACGCTCAGCCTCATCTCGGAGGCTAGGTATCCATCAGGCCGCAGATCAAGATCTGTATTAACCCACGCTGTGGTTGAAGCTGCGGCTCGCGGGCTTGGAGTTATGCAAACTGAAACAAGTGATACACGGAGCATATTAGTACCTGTTTGGGAATATGGAAATGTGCTGTTCAAGATCTGGCCTGTCGTGAGCTGAGGGGCGATGCAAGGTTCTTTTAATGTTTTATGGCCAGGCTGTGGCCGTTTACTCGGCACAGAATTGAACAGCACAATAACACCCGATCAGATGGTTATATTGTGTTGGTTGGAACTTTGTGTCGGGCCCAATCCCACAGAGCAGGTCTCCGTCGGGTGTTGGAATGTTGATGGCAGTGCTTTGAGCAAGAAGACCCCGATGGGGAAATATGTGGGTGAACTGGGAAGTGTGTGGTCAGCTTACTTAGCGGCGCTAAAAATACAAGATGGGACGAAATTATGCCAGGAGCCATGATGTCTCCCTGTGGCACCATCCATATATCTGACAGCGGCTGAAGGTGAGTGGCCAAGAGCGGCGATCCAATCTTTCTTCAATTCTTTCAGTGAATGTGGATGCAAATACGTGTCCGTATGGTGAAACAAGTTACCAGGCAAAGTTGGATTCTCTGAAGATAGTAGGATGGGTGGGTTAATCATTGGGACTGTCGCCGACAGTGAGCGCATCGCGCCATCCTGGGAAAGCGTTCAGAACTAGTGTGACCCTCAGGGCCTTTGCTGTCTGTTGACTGAACTCGGACTTGGGCCTTATTTGAAGGCCAGGTGCATCATCGTCGTTGGCCCTCATTTTGTGACAGACCATGGAACATGGACCGTTTTCTCAGTCCTATCCCC